AGTATAAAAAATATTTACCGAAACTTTTCAAAGAAATGGCAAAGATGCACAATTTACAGCATTGCATTCTTTACCATTTTATGAACCTTTCCAGATAGATTTCTAACTCAAAGTAATATTCTACTTGTAGACAAAAGAGTGCACTTTAATTTAATATAAGTTTCATTAAAATTTATTTACTTTTAGTATAAAAAATATTTACCAAAACTTTTCAAAGTAATAGCAAAGTTGTACAATTTACAGCATTGCAATCTCTGATATTTCTTTGAAACGGTTGTATAGTGCTGTGTGTGCCTGTCCCGAGGATGTATTCTTTTCAATGTTGTTTAAATAGTAATTTGCTATTTTATAGAATATCAAAGTATTATTTTCGATGCCTAAAAAAAATTGAAAAAATTTTTCAATTTCCGACTTCGTTTGAAAGCTCTTTGCATTCATAGTAATACCTAGGAATTACTAGCAATGTCTGATTTCCGGTTTTGACGGTAACATATTTATCAAAATATTCGTTTAAACAGGCACAGAAAATTCATTCATCTATAACAATATTATTTTTTCCTTTTTTTTTCTTTTATTAAATTATTTTCTAATACATTTTTTTATTACATATAATTTATTCACCATACTAAAGTTATATTTGCATTCTTATTAATTATTAACATTAACTCCTATTATTTATATTATACACGCGCGTAAGTGTGTGTGTGTGTGTGTAATGATGATTCGAGTGTGTGAGTAAAATGCCTCCTAATTGGTCCCTCGTTAGATAGGATTTAAATTGGCGTAATGCTTGAAATTTATCGTAATACCAGACTAATACTCGATGTAATAGACGAGGTAGGATTATGCAGCAATTGCATGATCTTGAATTTAGTGAAAGTAGTTTATTTCGAATGAGGGTGGAGGGGGAATGTGGTGAGGGGAACGGGGGAATCAGAAGTGTCAGAAAGGATTGAACGAATTCGTTTCTCTCAATCCTTCAAATAAATTCATTTTTGATTTCCCATTAGCAATTTTCATTTTTATATTTTGTTTTTGTTTTATTTTTTCCTTTTAATTATAAAATTTATCAATGCAATAAGATTCATTTTTTTAATCGTTTACTTTTTATTCGCGTAACTTAACAAAATTATTTGTATTCGTGTAATATATAATTAAAATGTTAATTTTTTATTAAATTTTTTATTTAGTTTACACGTTTTTGGGATAATAATGATAATAAAAATATTCTTTTTGGTAAGGTGATGTATCTTTGAATAATTTTAACACAAGTATTACGTACACAAAAATTACGTAACACACATTTTAACAATTACGCATAATACTTTTTGTTTATTTAATTATTAATGTATTGTTTATATATTCTCGCAGATGTCAATGAACGCTACGGCAGGTACTATACTCGTCAATGAAGAAATTGATCGAATTCTTTTGGAACGAGCTCAGGAATGTTTCGAGAAACAATCGTCGTATAATACTACTTCGCCACCAGGTATATTTTATTTCAATAAATATAATATATTTTTGATTAATATTAATCCTCTCTAAAATGTATTTAAAAATTAAACACACTTAAAGATATAATATTTATCTTTAATTTTCATTTAACGTTTCATTTGATTTTCATTATTCACACGTATATTTCATATTTTTTCTTTTTTTATTATTATTATTATTATTATAATAATATTTTGATAACAGATTCAAGAATAAATTAAAAATATTGAAATCTATCGTGTTAAAGTGTTCTGTTCGTTTTTTTAAATAAATAAACATTTATTGAATGATACAATTGCCATTATTATTTATGACAATTTGTATAATTTTAATTGTAAGAAATGTTTTATTCTTAGATGCGAATAAATTGAACCAGTAATTTGTTCGTACGAACAGAACTTTACGGTAGACCTAATAATTAAATCAATTGTTCATTGAATCAATGTTTTTTTTTTTTCTTTTCTTTCCTTTTTCATTGCGTGTGTTTTATTTCGATTAAACGTGTTTATCGAAAGATATATTTTAATCAAAACGTTATTTGTGATTTAATCGTTCTAATGGAAAATTTAATCGTTCAATTTCATTCCTAATTCAGAAAACTTTCAACTTGTTTTTATTAAATCGTAATAGAAAAATATTTTTTGATACGTTTTAATATATTTGCATCTAGTATTTTTTTGTTTTCATTTAAATTTCCAACGTAACGCGTTCTTGTTGATTAATTAATAATTTTTCTTTCGTTAGATACATAATAATAATAATAATAAAAATAATGATAATTAGCAGACAACGTTTTAATAATAGACAATGTTAGAACTAATCTAGAAATGTTTTCCGGGAAGTTAGAAAAAAAAAGAACAAATGTTGTATGCATTAGTAGATATGCATTTAAGTAACTGATTGAACTATTTTAATAACAAAGTATAAATAAAAAAAGAAAATAATAATTAAAAGATACTCGTTAACGTAATTTTAATAATTCATATACAAATAGATTTAATTAATGTTGTTCGTGTATTAAAATTGTTACAACATTTTGGATATTATTTGAACGTTTTTTATTCACAATTATGATAGTATAGTTAAATCTTTTTTAAAAATTAATCTAATAAAAAATGAATGTGGTATTGTTGTGGGTAATGATTTTAATTAGAATAAAAAAATGTAATAACATTTACTTTCAGTTCTATATACATCGTATTGAGTTACAAATATTCGATAAATAACAATTGTAAATAATTGGAATGAATAATCTATATATTGGTTTATTGAATAATATTATTTATATACTAAATGTGTGTTGTCACATTTTTGATATAAATGCATTTTTATTTTTATATTTTTTTTATATAAATGCATTTTTATTTTTATACTTTTTTTCTCATTTATATATGATTTTTTATTTCAATGAACTAAATCAAATCATTTCATTTATTTCAATATACATATATTTATATAAAATCTTGCAAATGTTTCTAGAAAAAGAATTCAGTCGAAGAATATTTTTGTATACAAATTGTAAGATTTCAAGGCCACTTTGAAACATGATTGTTTTTTTTGTTTTTTTATTCCCAATCATATACAAGTAATATTATTTAATGATAGATTGTATTTTTAATAACGACGTAATTATTATTAAAAACAACAAGTTTTTTAATTGTTGCTCGCGTACAATGGCACTTGTAATATATTTCTTTGTTGTTGTTGTTGTTTAATTACCTAAATTAATTTTTTTTCTTTTTTAAATTTTTCTCCACCTTCTGTCGATTCTTTCCGAAAACAAATTTCACTATTAATTTGATAAGATAAATTACAAGTAACGTGACTAGAATTAGAACGAGAATTATTGTTCCATAAACGTCAAACAAATATCTTTGCCACCATGGAAGAAATATTGCTGGAGATTGTAAAAGATTTTTATGTTTTATCACGTATTCTACCCAATACGTGGCCTTGTTCATTACTGGCTCTGGCCTATCTTTGAAAGTTTCTGACAGTTTTTTTATGTTTGTCCTTAAAATAAAGAAAACAATATCGTTTATAATATTAATAGAAATTAAATTAAGATTAAATACAATAAATATATAATATATAATAAATTAAATATGAATGAATTAAGTTATACCAAGGAATTTTTTGTTTTTTTTTTTTTGATAGAATCCGAAAAATAATTTTTAATTTTCAATTTTAATAATAATTGGACAAACTATAAGTATGGGATTAGTATATATTTGTTTTTTTTTTGTTTTTAATCATAAATATATACTAGGCACCATAATTATTTTACTTTAGTTGACATTTTTTTGGTTTACGTCTCTTCGTTGCAATTTATTCAATTAATTAAAACTATTTTCTATTAAAATTACTAATGCGTTAAATAAATCAATTCGTATTACTTACATGTAAGATGGATCATTTAAAATAGTTTTCAATGCATTGGTCAATTTTTCTTCGGTTAATTCGTATATCGAGCCAAGGGAAATGGCTACCTTTCTATTAACATAATTTTGTATGTTTACACTTTGATCGCCAAAAAGTGGTATACCAATCATGGGAATTCCATAGAATATTGATTCGGTAGTTCCCATAAGACCACCGTGGGTTATGAATGCTCGTGTGTTTTTGTGTTCTGTGAGGGAAAAAGAACAAAAATTGTAAAATTTTGGTTAGTTTTCAAATCACGAAATTTGTTGTAAATTTCTTTTCTTTTCTTTCTTCTATTTTTCTTTTGCTTTCTTTCAAAAAATTACTTACTCAGTACAGGAATTTGCGAAAACCAACTTTGGGTCATAACATTTTTCGGTAAACCGGGTAACAATTCTTCTTTTTTAGCAACCTTCATCAATACCCTTGTGGGTGCAATTTTTTCGAACGACTTGTAAAACATTTCAATCATTTCTTTTGGGAATGTTTCGATTCTGACCATTGAACCGAATGTGAAATAAATGCATCCATCTTTGCTGTCGTCTAACCATTTTTGTACTTCCTTTTAATATTTATTTGTTGTTGTTGTTGTTGTTGTTTCCCAAATGCATTCATTATAAAAAAAAAGACAATGTTAATATAGACCTTGATGATAAAGGTTCATAAGGAACTTGGACATGAAAAGAAGTAGAACTTAATTTATTAAGTTGGACGTTTCGTCCCTTTATTGGGACTTCTTCAGCAACTTAATCTTTAAAGTTCAGCCTCTTTTTTATTAAATTCGACATACATTTCTCTTTATGTTAATACTCCTAACACAAAACATCTAAACTTCGTTAATTTGATCGTTATTATTGAAAAACCTCAATATATATAATAAAATAATAATTTATATAATAAATATTTATATAATAAACCTAATATAGTTAATAAAATACTAAAATAATAATAATCAATAGATTAGTATTATAATTGTAAAATAATTTGAAACACTTACCGGTTGAAGTGGGTCAGTATTGTTATTGGACAAATGTAATCCACCAACTTCAATAACTGAATGTGGGAATGATCTGATTCCGTGTAAACTATGATGAGAATTAACTAACACCAATGAAAGATCTTGAAAAAGATCTGAGGTAGTTGCATCGATACCAAAATATTGTTTAGTTATTTCATTTTGTTTATTAACATGATAATCAATTTGCAATTGCAAGAAATGTATCATAAATGTGTTGGTCAATCTTTCGACGAATGACATTTTTTGACTGAAACCTGAAAAAATGTTTGGTACGTAAGCACCTTCGTTGGGTACACCAATCCAATGACTACTCCAATCGTGGAAAGGTGAACTCATTACACCGACTATTGGTACTTTTAAATGACGACCAAATGCTAAATAACAATGGGCAGCGAACAACTGTAAAATAAAAATAAAAAAAGATTATTCGTCGTATGTTTATTCTTTTTTCATTTTTTTTTTCTTTTCTTTTTTATTCTGTTACCTACTCCATCGATCATTCTACGTATTTTGTTTTGTTTTTCCTGCATTCGATTAATATAATTCACGCGAAGTAAATATGATTAATGGGAAATTACAAATTAGTCATATATATTATTGGTTATGTCATTTTAACGTTTTCAAGAAAAAGAAAGAAAACAAAAAGAAGAAGAAGTATTAATTACATCTCGTTGAAACTATTTTTTTTCTTACTTTTTATGTAATTCGTCACACAAGTGTCAATAAACACTTATTGAAAACATCATTTGCTGATGTCATCGTCGTAGTTATTAAACATTTACCAATAGATCTATCATCTTTTATTTTTTTTTTTTTTTTTTGTTAATTTTATTTATTATACCGATCGTTCGAATAATATTACTTTAATTTGTGATCTTAACGAGAAAAGTAATTAATTTCTAATCAATTTTATATAATCGAAAAATAACTCATTTATAACGTGGGTTGTTTGATCGTTTGAAAATATTATAAAATGATATTTCAGGTTTTTATTTATTTATTTATTTCTATTTGTTTGTTTGTTTGTTTGTTTTTCCCACGATATCTTCGAACGTATTTGATTTTGTATCGAAACATTTCATTTAATTTACTTTGAATTAAATTGAATTTTTATTGAATTACTTTTACTTAATAAATTCAATTAAAAATTGAATATATTTATTATTTATTAAATATATAATATTCGTTAATTAAACGCGTAAAAAAGAAGCGTTTATTTGTTGGATTTAAAAAAAAAAAAAGAAAAAAAAACAATTATATAAAAAAAAAATTTATCTAGACGGAAGAAAATACAAGGAAAGAAAAAAAATAACATAGTAATAAATATATGAATCATATTACCTCGATAATAACAAGATCGTAAGGTGGATCCTTTGGTGGATTTGTTATAATACTTTTGATTGGTGGTTGTTCCATTAACATGCATATTTTATAACCAGCAATATACGTAAGATGTTCCATATTTAAACTACTAAATCGTTTTGTATCATGTGCAGTTACATTGTTCACCGGACTACCAACTTCATTTTTAAGAAGAATTTCGTTGTAATTAGGATGAGGATTTTTAATTTTAAATTGTGTTAATACGTCTACTTGATGACCACGTTCAGCCAATCCAACCATTAATGCTTCCATCATGACCCAATGACTTTTACCAGCAAGTGGAAATAAACCCAAAATTCTATATCCATCGATTAATGAACTTTGGCTGATTATAAATGCCAAACAAAATGATACGAGGATTCGCATATTGTTTCCTTTTTTTTTAATATTATATTATTATTATTATTATTATTGTTGATTACCTGTTAAAGAAAAAAAAATGGATCAAAATTTAAATAGTGTTTTATTTTACTTCTTCAATAATTTTATTTGATATATATA